TCCGCGGCTCTGCGTCGATGATCGCGGCGGCGAGGGCCATCCACGTCGGCCTCGAAGTGAGCGAGGCGTCCTTCTCGAGCTTTGCTGCGAAGGCCAGCGTTTCGCCCGTCGCTCTGCTGATCCGGCTCGAGGCAGAGCACACGGAGGCCAACGCACTGGTGCTCTCGCTCGATGACGGCGACGCCCTAAAGCAGCTCGGTTCCATGCACTTGGTGGTGCAGGCGACGCACGCCGACGCCGTCGCAAGGCTCCTCCTTCCTCAAACCTGCCCCGAGGTCTGCTTCCACGCGCTTCAGATCCTTTGGCGCATGTTTCCTCACAAAGGGCACAGTGAGGACCTGGGCTCGAAGCACCTCGACACCGTGCTCGCCTCCCTCGCGATCCAGCGAAACGATCCCAATGTTCAGTTCGCTGGCTCTCTTTACCTTGGTGGCTTCCTGCTCCAGGATTTGATGGCGGAGCGCGGGGCCGCTTCTGACGAGCAGCATGACAAGGCCGCGGCCGCCGCCCTGCAGCAGCTGCAGTACCTCCAGGCGCACCCGGACATCTATGTGGGAGAAGATGGCCACGGGGCCTGGCTGCAAGACCTCGCATGTGCGTTCGCTGCGCTCTCTCACGCACGCCACGCGTGGATTTACAAGAACGCAATGGCGGCTCTCCTCGGCTACGCGACGAGCGAGGCTCCTGCGCCCGATGACCGCGAGGCTGCGCTCCACATTCTTCGGTTGGTGGACGAGGGGGAGGTGGACGAGGGAGGCTTCCTCAGCTCCCGCGGCTGGTTGGCCAGCCACGCGCTGCCTGCTCTCGGGGCGCTCCTCGAGGGCCCGGCAGACGAGGAGGATCAGGACAACTCGCAGCTGATGAAAATGCTGAGATACCTCCCGCGCTCGTCGGTCGCCTCGCACGCCCAAGCCCTCTTGGGGCGTCTCCGCGCGGCCAACGTCTCCGTGGCCAGCGCGGCCGGCGCCCTCCGCGGCCTCCGTCTTGTGGGCCCGCTGGCGGGGCACGGCTGGCTCGCATCGAAGGCGGGCGAGGTCGTGATCGACTTCTCCAAGCACTCGGACACCGACGTCCGCGACGCGGCCATGGACTGTTTCCTCATGATGTCGCGCGAGCCGCCCGCTGCGTTGCAGCCGCTGGCAGCCCGCCTCCTCGCACAGGCTGTGCTCAAGCCGCCAGCGGGCGTGCGAACCCGCAAGGCGAGGGAAGTGGCGCAAGTCGACGACACGCGGCGCGCCTACAGCCTGATAGTGCTAAGCGGGCTTGGCACAGACTTTCTCCTGGCGCAGGAGGCGTCGCTCGTGCCTCTTCTGGCCGACGCTTCCGCGACCGTACGCGCGGCGGCGGTGCGAGCGGTCGGCATGCTCGGCACAGACTTCCTCCTCCAGCAGGCGGCGTCGCTTGTTCCGCTTATGGCCGACGAGTCCGTGACCGTGCGTGCAGCGGCGATCCAAACGGTCGGCCGCTTCGGCCCTGGCTTGCTGGCGCATGCGCCAGCTCTGTGCGCCTGCCTCGAGGACTCGTGGGAAGCTGTGCGCATGCAGGCCCTGCTGGCAATCTGCGCCTTCATGGCTGCGTGGGACGAGCCCACTGTGGCGGCGGTCGTGCGCCGGCTCGGGGACGCCAGCGAAGAGGTCCGCCTGACGGCTGCGCAAGCCATCAGCGAGCGGGCGGGCGGCGACTTGCGCGTCGCTGATCCCGCTGGGCTCGAGCCGCACGTGGACGCCATCGCCACGCGCCTCGGCGACCAGTGCGTTCCTCGCTCCTATATCCCTACAAACACATTAGCTCGGGTCGTGACACTTGGCTCCACACACACAGGTGCGCGCTGGTGCGCATGTGGGCTCTCGAGACGATGATGGCGCTGCTGCCGCCCAGCGCGCTCGCCGCCCACACGGCCGCCATCGAGCAGTGCACGACACACGAGGACAAGGACGTGCAGGCCGTCGCCAAGCAAGTGGTCGCCACGATCGGAGGCCGCCGGTCGCCATGGCCAGCCATCGACCAGCGCGGCTCGGGGCTTGCGGATAACGACGAGCATGACGACGAGTGAGAGCGTGCCCATGACGCGGAAAACGGGCAGCTCGCGACCACTGCGCGGAGGGGCGGAGACACCGTGGGTGCGTAAGGCCATGCTTGTGGTCTATGCACTAATGGTCCGCGTCTGGACGCGTCGGGGCGTGTCTGAGCCTGAGCGCTGCACTGAGAGGGGAGGGGCGCGGGGGAGAACGAATGAGATGCGATCTGAGATGGGTGAAAACTGAAAAGGAACAGGTCCCCGCCCGTCGCGCGGCTCGCGCGGCAAAATGTAAACGAGAATGAATTAAATATATCTTATTTTTCGCCTGCTCACTTGACTCTTGAGACTTGTCAGATGATTTTAGTGTCTAGGTGCTCGCGTCACATAACATCTCCCAGGCGGCGGGGGCGCCGTATGCACTAGCTCAGTTGCCCCCCGCTTGCCGGCACAGGGCCCGCGCGCAAGCATATTGCGAGCGGGGAGGTGCGCCCACGTCCCCGTCCCGCACCAAAACGGCCGGATGGCGGTCCCGCGCGAGGAGAGATCCCCGACACGTCCATGGTACTCTCCGGGCGGCTCCCTCATCAGGCGGGGAGCTCAAACGGCTCTGGCGGCGCCGGCTCCTCCTCCTCCGCCCCCTCGCTCGCCGCGGCGAGCGCCGCCGGCAGCGGCAGCAGCTCCTCCTCCGCGTCGGGCGCCGTGTCCTTGAGCATGATGACCCCGGACGTGCGACCCTTGGCGACGGGCTCGTACCTCGACGCCGGCAGCAGCGAGCAGAAGCGCTCCTGCGAGCGAAGCACGCGCGACGGGTTCTCGAGCACCTCAAAGTCGAACTCGGCCTCGTCCGCCTTGTCGGGCTGCAGCTTGAGCACCGCCGCCACCGCCGCGGTCGAGATGTCTCCCCGCGCGTGCGCCTCCCGCACCTCGCCCACCAGCGCCTCCAGCGACGGCTTACCAGCCGCGCCTGCATCGGCGGACGTGTCCATCGCGTCG